TCTCATCCGCACACAGCGAGAACACACAGCGCTGCTCCGGTGAAGATATAATTCAGTCGACAAAATAAACCACCGCTATCTTCTAAACTCACGAAGGGCGGCACATCATGGCGGCTAAATAGGGTGAGAGAGTTTTACACACGGAAGAACCAAAATGTGAGCTTTACTCATTACACTAAACATTCAGTATCGAGACTGGCGATAAAACCAAAGCAATGTCTTGACCCTGAGAGGTCAGCTAAATATCTACAGCGGTTCTAAAATATTCATAATTAATTATAACTAGTTATGATTAATTATTCATATTTCCCATGAGCTGATTCATTACACATTACACAAGCTAGCTTAGTTTAATAGTAATTTTTAAGCTTTTATTCTAAATTAATATAATCATATAGATAATATGCAATATAAATACGTTTTAGAATCAATAGCTTTAAACATGACTACATATGAGCTTAGATTTTTAAGTGTTTTTATACCTATAAATATTATCAACTCTATAAACTAACTTTACAACTGTTACTTGCACTTATAAGGCAAGATGTTTTCTTTAAGTTTTCCTCTTTCATGGATAGATCGTTTCATCTTGTAAATGTGTTTAAATTCTTCATATTGTTCAATCTTTTAATCTTTGGTAGTGAATGGCACTGACTCTCAAGAAGTGAATCACAGTTTCAAGGCATGTGATTGGCTGTTCATTACTGATGTCACTCTTTCATGTGCACGTGCTCCTCCATTATCTCAGGATCAAGCCTGAATTGACAGAGAAAGTTGATGATCAGCTTCATACTACCAACAAAGCCGGATTGGACTGGTTTGGTTTTGTCAACTCAAAACTAATCCTGTAACCCCGAGTTTGTTCAGCCACCATCATGGTACAGGCCCCTGGTAGTTGATTGAGCAGTTTATCTGGATAGACTTACCTAGATAAAGCTAATTCTTCTAGCTGGTTGGCAAGGCTTTTCTTCTCCTGCATGAGAGTTTCTAGTTCAAGCAATGCATTCCACAAGCCTTCATCCATCTGGACCATCATCATCAACCTCCGGTCCATCTCCTCTCTGCTACAATAATATTAACAGAGGCTGCTTCATGTCTGCAAAAGAAAGGCCACCTACAACCCCGATGCATTCAGCTAAATAATTATATAAGTTGTTTTGTACAGTAAACTGTGATTTTATTAGTTCCTGAGGTAAAATGATGCCATCCTATGATTTTCCCACTACGCTTACGTTATAAATAACTCATACATGGTGAAGCTTTATTTCAGACAGATAATAATGGTATAAGTATTAATTACCATTTGTTAACATCTTTGTTTACTTGCTCCACCTCGCCTTTAGTAAGCTGTAGTTCAGTTTTTGGCATCCTTGAGTTGTTTTAACAAATCCTGACATTGAAAAAAAACAAAACCCAAACCCAAAACTCATGTGAAGCATACAGTGTTGCCAACTTAGCAATTTTGTTGCAAAATTTAGCAACTTTTCAGACTACCCTAGCAGCTTTTTCTTCCAAAAGCACCTAGAAACAAATTTAGCTATTTTAAAATTTTATTTGGCTACTTTGGGCAACTTTTGATAAGTGACTCAAACAATAAAAAGGCACACATTTTCCATCTAAATTTCACAAAAAGAGGAAACCAAAGATGCCTAGAAGTACATAGGCTAAGTATATCACATGAATTAAGGTATTGCTATTTGCGGTTGTTCAATTTGATAATAACAATAATAATTTAATAATTGTTAATTTACCTGTTTTGTACAGTAAACTGTGATTTGATTAGTTCCTGAGGTAAAATGATGCCATCCTATGATTTTCCCACTACGCTTACGTTATAAATAACTCATACATGGTGAAGCTTTATTTCAGACAGATAATAATGGTATAAGTATTAATTACCATTTGTTAACATCTTTGTTTACTTGCTCCACCTCGCCTTTAGTAAGCTGTAGTTCAGTTTTTGGCATCCTTGAGTTGTTTTAACAAATCCTGACATTGAAAAAAAACAAAACCCAAACCCAAAACTCATGTGAAGCATACAGTGTTGCCAACTTAGCAATTTTGTTGCTAAATTTAGCAACTTTTCAGACTACCCTAGCAGCTTTTTCTTCCAAAAGCACCTAGAAACAAATTTAGCTATTTTAAAATTGTATTTGGCTACTTTGGGCAACTTTTGATAAGTGACTCAAACAATGAGTTTTTATATAATTGACCCATATCATAAGATATCTTAAAAATAAAACAATGCCATAGAAGAACCATGGGGCAGTGTTGCCAATTTAGCAATTTTGTTGCAAAATTTAGCAACTTTTCAGACTACCCTAGCAGCTTTTTCTTCCAAAAGCACCTAGAAACAAATTTAGCTATTTTAAAATTTTATTTGGCTACTTTGGGCAACTTTTGATAAGTGACTCAAACAATAAAAAGGCACACATTTTCCATCTAAATTTCACAAAAAGAGGAAACCAAAGATGCCTAGAAGTACATAGGCTAAGTATATCACATGAATTAAGGTATTGCTATTTGCGGTTGTTCAATTTGATAATAACAATAATAATTTAATAATTGTTCATTTACCTTGTTCAGCTACCTTGTTAGTAGCTTGTACATGTGATTGTTGATCAGTTAGTACACTGTAAGAAAAATATCTAGTAAAATGGCAAAGGTACTAGTAATATTCCAGGACATTATCCATTATCAATTATCCATTATCCGTTGTAACCCTG